TTCCAAATTTTTTCAGTGGTTGGAGGATGAGGCCACCGTTGACGGGGCGAGAGCTTCCTGAGTGAGTAGCGTGTTACGCGCAATGAATACCGAGTTTTGAGGAGCGGGGTCGGTAACGAGCAATGAATAACCAGTAATAAGTAACCAGTAATTAGAAGCGAATAACGAGTAATGAGTAATAAAAAGCTGCTAACCCGAAACAGTGCCGCGGCGCGAGTGAGGTCTCTCATTACAGTACCGAGACCGGGATTGAAGCTTCAATTCACCGAGGCGCTGTGATGATGCTGGTGGAGGTGCAGATTTTGTTTCATCTCAAGAAATAAAGAGGTGATTTTGTAATATAAGTAAATATGAACTGTAAATAATGTAACCGATGATGCTGTACGTTTTGAAGAGCGTTAGGTCAGCTGAAAAGTTAATAACTTTTGATAAGCGTTGATTTGTTGTGCGAGGCGCTAAAGGCGAGCGGCAAGTGCGAGTCTCGAAACAACGAATCGAACGGGAAGGAGGCAACAAAGCGTGGACAGCGACTCTGTCCCATTAACTCTTTACCCACGATTCATGATTAAGCTAAGAAAAGTCCCTTCTGTATAAAGAGTAAGTATACACGACGAAAAACAAGATACACATATAGACGAAAAGATGTCTACAGATTTTAGATTTATTATTAACCATTTATTATTATTATTATTATTATTATTATTATTATTATTATTGTCCTTGACATCGTCGCGATTATTATGATTACCGAGCCCGCGATTAATAATTACAATAATAATTGTGAAATTATTATTATGATTTATTATTAATTATTATTGTCATCTCTATCAGTACCATTATGATAATTATTATTACGATTTTTATTCACCTGCTTAGATCGAATGCAGATTGAGAATTTAGACAACTATTCACAATGTTTGTTTTCTTCATGATACTTTTCTGGTCTCAAATTTACTACATGTCAGAATTCACTGTTAATTTCACAAATGAATGAACAAATACAAAATTTAGATCTGACTATTATGTACTACACTGGATTTATAAAATTATATAACACTGAAAACGCAATCTGTCTGAAATTTCAATCTGCAATTAATCTTGCAGTGTATACTTCATATTATATTTGTGTAATATTAATATTATAATTTTGTTCTGTCTTGAATTTATGCGATCGCAAAATACGGTTAATCTGAGTTCTGTACATACTAGGATCATTATTGTCGTTGTAATCGAAGAAAAACAAACGTTAAAAGAGGGCTGGGAAATGCAGAACTCCCGTCGACGTGGTTGTATAACTATTCGACGAAAAATCGATATTATAATGAAAAAATTCAATATTTCCGATGTCTGTTTTTTTCTGTTTTCATGATACCTAAAATACTGGTAGTAATCGTGTCATTTTTCACTCTTGACCAATTGTAACAAAGCTTTGTGTAAAAATTTAATACCTGTTTTCATGATGCGTTCGGCTCACACGAGAAACGAATCGATATGTCTCCGACTTACTTTCTATATGATTATTCTGCTTGGCTCAATTCCCGCTTCCAAATAATTCAATATTATACGACTACTTTTCTCATTTTAATCAAGACAAGAAATAAAGAATTATGTACAATAAATATTATTAATTGAAGCTTTGAAACGATAATATGCAGTGTTGATTTGAGCTAATCAAAATTATCAAATATACTTTTCATAAACTTGGTTTCAACGAGAATTTGATTCCGTTGATTCTAGACTGTATAACTCCCGATTGCATTATTTTTCTTTATTACATTAGGGAATTTTCTTTTCTCAATTAAAATAATATATAATTGAGCTATAGAAGTTTCTCATTGAGGGAGTATGTTAATCTAGCTGCCTATAAATTAATTGTTTTGCTATATGCGCGTTGTAATATTTTTGTTTATGTATATGTATATTATTATTACTACAACAGGCGAAGAGGCTGAGAAGTACTAAAAGAAGTTTTATAAAAGAAAAACTCGAAATATAGAGAAATGCATCGCGATAAAGCCGATCAATCGGTAGTTGATTCGTTATTATTTCATTATTATTAATACTATTATTATTGATAATTTTGGTTTTTGTTATTTTAATGAAACGTGTGAGAATGAACGTGTATAGACACCGAGTGCTAACGTGATGCTGATGTCGAAAGACAATGTGATTGATATTTCGGGAAGTGATGATGATATAAAAAAATAAAAAATACTTATATAGAAATCAAAATCAACACTTTGTAAAAGTTGGCGACCGAATGTTACGTATTAGTACCGATAATGAAATCTTTTCAGTTTAACTGAATATGTATAATCGCTTATAGTATTGAGTACAAAAAATAATGTGTTTCACTAACGACGAGCCTTAAATTATTGCGATCGGGTGCCATATTCTTTAAATCACTTTATAAAATTTCTATTTAGTTTTTAATGAACTTAATATTTTTATTCTTTTAATTATAATTCTCGTAAAAACGAAAATTTTAGTGAAACAATGCGTCACAATTTACGTTATTGCATTACCTCTTTTTTATATTTATAAAAGTGCGTGTTGCATGCGAATTGTGCATAATTTTTGGCTCCGTCGTTTTTCTTTTGTTATAATAAGTATGGATTATTTAGTGCGAAATTAACCAGATTCCGCTGGTACGGGAATGCGCCATCACATAGCATGGAAAATACAGAAAACATAAACAAATTAAGAAATGAACAAAAGCAATTAGTACACATTACGCGAAAAAGACAGTCGATAAAATAAATTTGTATACACGTAAAAATGAGAGAATAGCTATTGTGTGAAATCTGACTCCTTCCCTTATATATTATTATATTAACTATTAATTATTATTAACGTGTAAACAGCAAAAAAAGAAACTGGCGAGTGGTAACTTTTTGTTAGAATGACAGAAACTAAATTACTACTGAATTTTAATTAATAAACGAGATGAAAGTATACAACAGTATCAACATGGCTTTTTATATTTAATAACCAATACATTACTACCCTGATTACCTTGGAACACACGCTCCTAAATATTGCATGCTATTCAGTCTATATTTAAAACTGTTGAATCTAATAATCAATCAAAAATTCAAAATCAATTTAAAACCATTCAATCAGTCGATTATATTATTTTATTTTTGGTTATTCTTATATTTGTGTGAAAAACTTTTTTATGGATTGTGTAAATTCGATCAGCTGGTTCGTCATTTTTAAATGACATATTTTTGGCTAGTGGTATTTAATAAAATAGATTTTATATAATTTCTTTAATATTTTGAATTATGCTAAGTTCAAGAACATTTTCTTTACTCTTCATTTCCCTTCAACCTATTCCTCGTGGTTTCTCATAGTGTTGCTGCCTTTCTCCTTCACTTTTCTCTTATTTTCGAAATCAAGAAATATATTTCCTTTTATCATTATTTCATGTTCAATTTAATTTAAAGTGAATAGATTTATTTTAAAAAATATAATATTTTCCGTTTCATTATTTATAAATTTAACAAAAGCAGATTAAAGTTATTCTATTTAACTGATTGAAGCATATTATAAATATTTATACTATAAAATTACCTAATGATTAGTAGCTAATTGAATAATAATATTAAATATTATATAAAATATTAGTACGTATAAAAAGTGATCAAACATAATAATAGATTATATAAACTTCTTAAGAAAAAATATATAGCGAAAACATTTTAAGATTATAATAGTTTGAGAAATGATTGATTAAATTAAAAATTTCATTTGCAACTAAAAGTTATTATCTTGAATACAAAGGCAAATATTACCTTATAAAAATGTATATGAAAATAAAAAAATTATTAAAAACAGACATATATAATTAATTATATTATGTCGTTAATTCGAATAAAATAATGAATGTATTTATTACAGAATATAGATTTTCACCGGTTAGGATTTTTACATTTTTATTCTAATTTGTATAGCTTTCCATGTATATCTTTTCTGTAAGGACAATTATATTTTTGTAGCAATGGCTTATTTTCTTTTTCTTTTTTCATTTTTGCTTTATATTGAATAGCCTTTTTTTATATCTGCTTTATATTTATTTCAAAAGTATACATATATATATATATATATATTTTTTTTTAAGTTAATATCTTTGAAACAAGAGGTGAGAGTATTATTTTGAGTATAATTAGAAGAACAAGTTAAACGAAAAAACATTAAAATATGGATTTATTTACATTTTGTATATAAAAAACATTGAGTTTTAATAATATCCTACAATAATCATTTATCTGCAGTGTGTTCAACAAATTGAATTTATTAATTTGTTGCACATTTATATTTGAATATATTTTCTATTTAAGTAACTTTAGATACCAAAATAATTTTTATTTTAATAATAATCATTTTGTTTAAAATTAAATAGATAAATGAATTTACACATTATATAATGAATGCTTTAATACGATATTTTAATACAAAATCTTCATAAGTATTAAGGACTTACAAATATTAGCTATATTATATTACTATATTAGATACAAACAAAGGTAATAAACGTAATTAGTTCTTTTCTTTATTGATTTTATATATATTGTATATAAACAAATAGAAATTATCAAAACTAAAACTTACAATTAAAATATGATATACAGTGATATAATTATATTAAAATATTCTTTTAGAAATTTTGAGTTCGAATGTTATTTTATATTTATATGCACTGTTATATTATAAATTTATAAAAAATATATAATAATGCTTTTTATTTCAATTCATAGAATTAATAGTTTTAAAAATGTGGCGATTTATTAATATTGAATATAATTTTTCTTTTCCCTTTGAAAACAATAAATTAGTTTTTTACAAACGTTAATTTTTTTAGAGAAGTAGATAAAATTTAAATATCATTACAAATTCTATTTACTTTAAAATATATTCAAAGTTACTATTTTTTAATTGTTTGCTATTATTATTCAAATTTAATCCTTCAA